TATTCTTCTTAAACTTCTCAAATCTTAATCCTTGCACTAATCTTCATTTCTTAGAGCAACTGTTACGTCCATATTATAACTACATAATCATCTTTTTGTAGTTTTGAATATTTCGATAATTTGGTACGATTTCACAAAATTTGTATTTGGTTTAGATTCAATTTGTATTATTCAGTGAAGAGACTAAAATTTTATTTGGGTTTGGGTTTATAAAGTTGGGGTTCAGTTTACATAATTCAGTATAGAAATATCGTTTAGATACTGTGGAAGATAAATTCCGCACTGAGTATTTGTATGTGAATTCGAAAAAAAAACTTTAGTCCTAAGAAATATCTATAAGCTCAACGATTAAAAGAAGAGTAGAATGGAGCTGGATTTATATTGATACGAATCGAATATACAATAAGATCTCGTCTGAGATGTATTACAAACTGAAATGTAGTGTTTAGTTCTCGTGTATGAAAAGTTGGCAAAATCTCCTCGGACTTCATCTATTTATAGCTCAATTCAGCTCTTCGATCCAGCTCCATGTGCCTAGGACGGTTCCGCTTATCTCGGGCACGATCTCGGCATATTCTCCGCAAATCTCGCTCCTACGACTGAGATAACTGCTCGGTTGACTCGCTCCCAGCTCATCCTCAGCTCGTTATTTCTGCACCTATTGACTCGGCCCTTTCGGGGTTGACCTAGGCTTTAAGACAAACATCATCTAATTCTTTGGGTTTGGGCCGTAGGCCTATCGATTCTGGTCAACATATCGCGAACACAAGTTTTGACCTGGATTTTTATGTGGGCCGAATTCGGTGACGAATCCAGCCCTAACAGATACCAAATAAAACTAAAATTTTTATTTTGGTTCGGTTCGAAGAGTTTGGTTTTGGACAGAAAAAAAAACATAAGGTAAAAGAGATGATTTGTCTTTCTTGCTCTGCTATTTTGTTTGGCATTCTTCGATTTGCAGATGATATAAAGAATTATTGGTGAAAACCATCAACATCCATTCACTTCAGTTTTTTTCATTGATTCTCTATTTCTAAAAATTAGAAATTCTTTCCATATAGATGGAGTTTTTAGACTTTCGGTTTCCATATAAGTGGAGTTAAATTAATTCTCTATTTCCATATATATATAAAATTAG